TAAATAATAAAATTATTGACGAAAATTCAATTATTTTGAGGCATTTTAATAAAATTCTTTGCAAAATTCAATTATTTTCATAAATATCAATATTCATCGCAAGAATTCAATTATTTTTAAAAGCAGTAAATTTCTTTTTGGAAATTCAATTATTTAAAAAAATTCTAATAAAATCGTTCGTAAGAATATTCAATTATTTTCATAAATAATAAAATGCTTTTTAGGAATTCAATTATTTCAAAAAATTTTAATAAAATACCACACAGACATTCACTTATTGTCAAAAATTTTAATAGAATTCTTTGTAAAATTTAATTATTTTAAAAAACTTTTCGCAATTCAATGATTTTCAATATTTACTATTTTCATAAAATTTCCAAACAGAATTCAATTATTTAAAAAAATGTTTGTAAAAATCTTCGTAAGAATTCAATTCTTTTCATGAATAATAAAAATGAATTGAATTTCTCAGGAATTCAATTCTTTAAATTAGAATTTGCGTAAAATTAGTCGAAAGAAGTGAATTATTTAAAAAATTTTATAAAATTCTTCGCAAGAATGAAATTACTTTTTATAAATATTTAAATTTGTAGAAACAAAAATTCTGATTCTTGTATTTATAAAGCATATATTGCTTATAAAAAAAAACAAGAATTAATAAAAAAAATATTCCTGATGTCTTATTTCAAAAAATAAGTAATAAAGCGTTACTGAATCTTTTAAACGATGACTTATGGTAAACATCTTAAAATACTGCTCTCCTATGGTTGACTGACTCTCTTTACTCTCCAGATGCCTTGTACTGAACCTTGAAGTTAGGGAGGGTCACGGACTGATTGGAATTCGAAAGGGGTCGTCCTTACAGTGTCGTAAGTCGTAACTGTTACTGGGATGGGATATACATATATGTATATCGAACGAGTCGCGAACAAGGGCGACCGGAAGGAGTCCATGTAAAAACTTTTTCATCGATATTATCGAGCCGTTTGAGAGGAGAATTTTTTTTCACCTATACAAAAAAGAACCTACCCTTTCTTGTAGCTTTTTTTTCTATCTTCCCTACTGAATGTTAGGTAAATTTTTCTAAACGCTTCTTTAACGGAAACATTTCCATTTTTCTAATTCAAAATTTTGAGTCAAATCTGCATTATCTGAGTTGTCTTAAAGGAAAAAAAAAAAAATTATCCTGTTGGCCTTCGTGCTCCTCAGGGTCAGTTTGACCTTCCTGGTATAATGTGAACAATCCCTGCGCCGAAATTCGCTGGCAGTTTTTGACAATGATTTTTTTTTTTTTTGATCATTTACAATGATCTTCCCTAACAGCTATGATCATAATTAACATTTATTTTTTATTATAATTATTTCCCAAACTGTATTTTCGAATCTTGAAGTGTTCCAAAAATTCCCAGACATCTTTTCTATTCGGTAATAATTTTTTTAATAGCGAATAAATTTTTTCCCAACTAATTTTCTCTTCCGTGCGTTCTCATTTGTGATATCAACTGCAGTATAGAACAACCTGTTTCTTCCCTCGCGTGTTACTCTTTCCTCGTTTTATAACAAAAGCTAGATATATACATATATATAAAAGTATCACGGAAGAGGAGACTGGAATCCATAAATAGTTAATGAGCAATTAACAAAAAAGGCATATCATTTTGCGAGACGCTTCGCTTAACAAACATATTATCAATCATTAAATTTCTAATATCTATAGTTTTGTGTGACGGGGAGAGAAAGAGAGAATAAAAAAAAAATTAATCATTACAAATAAGTTACCGCAGTTTTCTCCTCTTTTATATTTGCCGTTAGGTAATTTATAATCGTGTCAGGTTTTACCGGCTTAGGATTATATTGTGGCACGTTGGATAAAAAAACCTTTTTTTTCAATTTTTTTTTTCTTTACGCGAACAAAAGGGATTTTTTTGTGGTCATGTTATTTTTGACTGTTGCCCGCTGTTGCCGGAAGCGATGACTAATAAAGAAACCGCGACCAAAAAAGACAAACAAACAAAACTTATCATCCATGAAAATTTACACGAAAAATTCTTCCATGAAAAAATAATTCCACTTTTTAAAAGTTAATACTTTATTGAAATTTCTCTCTAAAAATTTAGTATCACCAGAGAAAAGTATCTGTCATTAAAAAAAATTCCAGGGGTAAATTGCAATTTAGCACTGCATGAAATACAATATTTCTTTGAAATGAGTTCATAAAATGAAATAAAGGAATATATATCTATACAATCTAATCTTTTTTTTGAACGTGAATAGTTTAAAGAGTTCTCAAGTTACGCCAATGATGTTTAAAATTATGTTTGAGGTGCGATATTCCCCTTTACCTTTAAATTCCTAACATCCTGTGGGTGGTATTAAACCTTGGAGCAAGTTTTCTCATGTGCTTTAATATCGCCGGGAACTATCTAATAGGCTAGAAAATGCTTTTGTATATTACCAAGAACACCTACTAAAGTATTTAGAACGATAATACATTTACAAATATAATATATGATCCAGTATTTTCGAAACTATTATTATCCTATCTTTATTGCTTGCATTATCTTTAGAATTTCATATAGGGAAATATTATTATAATTATAACAAAGTTCATCTAGTTTCAAATTTAATTGCTTTGTAATTTTTTTTTCTCTTTAATTACATAGAAAAACTATTTTTGCAGATTATTTACTTCGAAATAATCTGCAAAAAATGTTCTTATCTTATTAATCTAACGAAAAACAGTACAAAAAAACTGTTTTCTAAAAATTTTAGTCTTTATATTGAATCTGCCTTTTTGAATTTTTAAAATCTAGTATCAGATTTGTAATCAGCGACTGCAAAAACCCCCGGGTAACAAGTTTCAAGCCAATTAGTTTATTTTTTTAAGATTCGGTCGCCATATTGGATCCGCTATTTTGAATTTTGAAAATCTGATATCAGATTCGTAACCAGCGACCCCAAAAACCCCCGAGTAACAATTTTAAAGCTAATCTGTTGAATTTTTAAAAACTCGGCCGCCATATTGGATCCGCCATTTTGAATTTTGAAAATCTAACATCAGAAACGTAATTAGCGACCCTGAAAACCCCAAAGTAACAATTTTTAAACAATTCCGTTGAGTTTTTGAAAATTCGATTACCATATTGGATCCGCCATTTTGAATTGTCAAATTTTGACATTAGATTCGTAACCAGCGACCCCAAAAACCCCCGAACAACGATTTTTAAGTAATTGCGTTGAGTTTTTGAGGATTCGGTCGCCATATTGGATCCGCCATTTTGAATTTTCAAATTCCGATATCAGATTCGTAACCAGCGACCCCAAAAACCCCCGAGTAACAAGTTCTAAGCAAATTTGACGAATTTTTGAAAATTCGTCTGCCATATTAAATTCGCCATATTGAATTTTGAAAATCCAACATCAGATTCGTAATCAGCGACCCCAAAAACCCCCGAGAAACAATTTTAAAGTGAATCAGGTGAATCTTTAAAAATTCGTCCGCCATATTGGATCCGCCATTTTGAATTTTACAGTTCTAACTTCAAACAAGCGATCGTTGTTAAAGGAAAACTAAAAAACAATACAAATATTACATGTTAGTAGTTATTTTGCTTTCTATCATTGAAGTTATATCAACGATTATGTATTTGAAGTCAGAATTACAAAATTCAAAATGGCGGATCCAATATGGCGGCTGTGTTATTTAAAATTCAACGGATTCGCTTCAAAACTATTACTCGGGGGTTTTTCATGTCGCTGATTACGAATCTGATATTAGATTTTTAAAATTCAAAATGGTGGATCCAATATGACTGATATTTTTCTTAAAAATTCACAAAATTCGCTTGAAATTTGTTACTCGCCGATTTTTGGAATCGCTTATTCCGTTTCTGTTATTGGATTTTTAAAATTCCAAATCGCGGATTCAAAATGGCGGTCGAATTTTTAAAGATTCAACAGATTCGCTTTAAAATTGTTACTCGGGAGGTTTTAGGGGTCGCTGATTACGTTTCTGATGTTAGATTTTCAAAATTCAAAATGGCGAATCCAATATGGCGGCCGAGTTTTTAAAAATTCAACAGATTAGCTTCAAAATTGTTACTCGGGGGTTTATAGGGTCACTGATAACGAATCTGATGTTAGATTTTCAAAACTCAAAATGGCGGATCCAATATGGCGGCCGAGTTTTTAAAAATTCAACAGATTAGCTTCAAAATTGTTACTCGGGGGTTTATAGGGTCGCTGATAACGAATCTGATGTTAGATTTTCAAAATCCAAAATGGCGGATCCAATATGGCAGCCGAGTTTTTAAAGATTCAACGGATTCGCTTCAAAATTGTTACTCGGGGGTTGTTAGGGTCGCTGATAACGAATCTGATGTTAGATTTTCAAAACTCAAAATGGCGGATCCAATATGGCGGCCGAGTTTTTAAAGATTCAACGGATTCGCTTCAAAATTATTACTCGGGGGTTTTTAGGGTCGCTGATAACGAATCTGATGTTAGATTTTCAAAATTCAAAATAGCGGATCCAATATTTCGGACGAATTTTTTAAAAATTCATTAAATTCTCTTGAAACTAGTTATTCGGTTCAGCTCTTGAAAACTTTATCTAACAGTTATTGATAAATAACAATAGTGACATTCCCAAACCAAATCTAATTTTAAAATCCGTTTACATTCCTCACTATCAAGGTAACCTATAAACTCAGTTTGGAATTTCACCTTTTAAATTTATAGTCCTACTCTAATGACTTTTTCTAATTTTTAAAGTTTGTTGCCCTTCTGACTTTCGACCCAACCCAAAATCCTAGACCTAGTAATCTATTCAATTGATTTTCAAGATAACGTCTTGACCTTTAAAAGGCGCATTATTTCACCCCATTCACTTTGTTGAACTTAGACCTAGAATTTTCGTGCGACTACAACTTGCAATTAGCAAATTTTATGAATAGTCATCATTTGTTATAGGTATCTAGTGAAAATATAATAAAACTTACTTGGAACTTCTTTGCCTGGAGCGCTGCTCAAATCACTCATAGAACTTCGTACAGAACTGCGGGCAGTCTCCTGATTCGGTGATTTAGTTTCCTGACGACCTCTTCCTCGTCTTTGAAATAAAAATAAACACAGATTAGTTAAAATTCAAAATTAATGTTTGCTTTCAAAAATTAATAGCAGTTAAATAAAAGGAAGTGGTGAATAACAATTTTCGATTGCAATAATTTTACGAATGGAAAAAGAAAATAAATGTAGAGACGTAGAGAGAAATGGCAATGAAGAGAGAAATGTTTAAGATTACCCCGGAAAAAATATTGCAAAGGTAAAATATGGATGAGAATTAATATGAGAAATAGAAGTACTTTAGGATTAAAAAAAAGAGTTGTATCCAGACTCGACGGTTACTTTGTATATAAATATTGCAACATCCGTACGATATCAAAGAAACTGGAATTCTTTTTTCCGAGAGTTTATCTAAGAACAGAATCTTCAAACTTGCGTGGGCAGTTTCTTGTACTTTAACAGCAATCAGTATTCTTATTTCCATGTATTACCCAAGTGAATCCGAACGATAAAATCTTCAACAATGCAATATAGGAAATAATTTCATTTCTTATATAAAATTGCAACAATCGCAAGGAATTCTTTATGATGTTAGGCCACTGTCGACTTTTTCGAATAATCGACAAAATTTTTAGAAAAAAATATAATGATCTATTTTAAAGTCCAAAAGTTAAAATTCAATGTTTCGAGTATAGCGGACTAAAGGTAAAATAATGTTTTAAAATAACTACCCGTACCGTTTATCTTTATTGGAACCAGCATTATTGTTGGCGTCCCCACAATTTCTTCTTCCTGGTGAAGATGTTGTGGCATTTGTGAGATTCTGCAACACTCTGGATTTGACATCCTTTCGCATTACTCTAGCTCTGGCTTCATTTTTGCCAGCCTCTATTTTATTCATAACCGCGTCCCATCTTCCATTTTTTCTCGGTGCCCTCTGGGGTCTTCTACTTTCCTTCCCCTCATCCTTCGGCCCCGATTCAATCATTTCCTTAATTTTCGAAATGACATTACGTTTTGGCATTTTATATTTCTTCACGTGCGGCGGTGTTTCATTTTTATTATTCGACTTTGTCTGCTGATCGTCAGTTTCAATCTGACGATTACGATTTCTATCCACTTCGATGGTTGTCACCTCCATCGGCATACTCGTTTCCATTGAATCGTTACTGACCTCCAGCACATTCTTGGATGAGTCCTAAAATCAAAAGTTCGAATTAGAATCATAAATCAGAATCAGGGCTAATTCCACCAAGAATTTAATCATTGATTAACTTTTAATCGGTGTTGGTGAAACTGGCCCTTAGAAACAGAATTGAAATTAGAAATACAAGAAAGAATTTACCTGCAAATAGTTTAGGATAATTTGAGCAGGTTCGGGTTTAACATTAGGAGAGAGTTGACTCTTTTGCGAGAGTTCAGTGTCCGCAGTGTCGGGAGTGCGATCCTCGCTGAACACCTCCTCACAATTAGGACGATCGTCCTGCCGTTTATCGAGATCAGAATAAATACCACTCGAGTCCATTTCCTCACCCATAAAACTAGGACATATTCTACCCCCCGGCGCACAAAATAACGTTCCATCAATCACTTGCGCTCGTCTATCACCTCTGATTATTTCCTCATGAGCGTCCGCGTCACTTTCAGTGAAGAAATCGGAATCAGTCATTGGATCTTGCCGACAAGGTGCAACAATGAGATTTGATGGTGCGACAACTAGAGGGATTTCGGGTCCACGACTCGCGGGTCGTGAATTTTCTCCATCGCCTTGATAGCCAGCCTCAAGACTTGTGATACTTGTTATTGAAGTTATAAAACTAACGGGAAGTACCGATCTCACTGGTTCAGCTGGTTTTGGATCAAGTGGCAATTCCTCGGGTGATGGACTTCTCTCAATCGAACCGGCAATTATTGGTTCAACATCCAATGAAAGTGGCACCTCCGATGGACGTAATGCTGAATGTCGTATTAATTTACCACCAGCGGATCCAGTGAGATTCTCGCAGGATGGCGTTCTTGAACCTTCGAGAGCCACTGTGAAGTCAGGCATTTGATCCGGTGTCAGAATACCCAAACTTTCGTCGTGCTCGAAGGAATTTTGCTTGTGGAGCATTAAATAATGAGGCGCTGACGCTGTACCCGCATCTCCAAATGCGCCAAGATTATTCAAATCCTGATGGCAATTATTGTCCTCGACGTCATCGAGTCTCTTCAACTGGGGATCCTCGACCAAGCTGCAAAAATTTGAGACAAATTAATTTAGAGAATAACGATAGTTTTTAGTTTGTTAATTCTAAAGAAAGGGACTTGCGGTATGATGGTTACCGGACTTTTTTTTCTCGGAAGTCTAACTTTTTTAATAATATAGCAATAGCAGTTGTACAGTACAGCCATCGTAGTCGCGAACAGCTCGTAGGGTGGAGAGAGACTGACCAGTGCGCACGAGACTCGCGCCGCTTCCCTTCCCCCTCCATTCGCTCTCTTCGCGACTATATAACCCGCGCGCTCAGTCTTTTCCGTCAGTTCGTCTACCGACTTGGCTCGAGGTGCACTTCGGACTAACCGAGCTAAACCTCCCAATTCGTCACTATAGATCATGGAATGAATTCTAAACTACTTCCGTAAAATAATAATTCCACAAAATGCTCCCAATACTAAATGTATCAAAACGTCGTCAATGCAAATAAATAAAGTTACTTAAACGGTACAAGGCCCGGTAAAATTTATTACGCAAAATGCTCCAGATTCATCACGATAGATCATGGGATGAATTCTAGACTACTTCCATAAAAAATAAATCGACGAAATGCTTTAGATTCAGGGGGAAACAAATATTTTTAATTACATAGATCCGCAAACAGATCGGAGGATTACAACAACAACGGATTGGTAAATATTTCTACCCCGGATTCCCTGGCAGAAAAAATTTGTCTGTTCTACTAAAAATAAAAGGGAACTTACCCGAGAAAGTCCAGCTTTTCATTGCTGAGACGTTCCAAACGTTCATCATCATTATTGTCTGCACTCCAGGTGCAAGAAGTCTTATACGTTCCATCTGATTTCCCTGCAAATGAAAATGGAACTTTAGCATTTTTTTTTGGAATGATGGAAATATTCTGAAGAGTTCCAAGAGACACTTGTGGAAGAAGAAGTTAGGAGTGAATGTTTACCTTCAGCAGCAGGTGTAGAAGCAGCTCTCTTGATGGTTTTCACTTTTGGTGTAGTTGTATTGTCGTTCTCGTAACTATTAACATGCGGATAACCGGAAATAATTGCTGAACGTCTATGACCGGAGGCTAATTTGTTCGCTCTTAGTTTTGGCAGAAACGAAGGCCGAACAGCCCGTGGAATTGGAATTCGACTTTCTGCTGAGTTCTGCAATGAGAAAATTAATAATTTATTAGTAATCATCTAAACTATCAGGAGCAGAATAATTTTTTGGATTATGATCATTAGGATAGGTCATTAGGATGACTGGCATTAGGATCAGATGAATATTGCTTCCTCAAAGAAAGCTTTATGGTAATTAGCTACGTGAACTATATTTAGGTGGAAAAAAAAATAAGAGTACATTGTCCGTTTGTCTAAAAATAAAAATAGTCTTCAATCCTGGACATTCTGGAGGATGAAGCAGTAGACTTAGCTACTTCACTTCATAGTCTCATTTCTCAATGCCAAATCAAAAAACACATTTTGTAACAGATATTGCTCATTTCATTTACCAACTCGACATTACGTTCTGCTACACTGATTCTTTCAGCGGAAATCGTTTACTGCCTTTAAACAACAATTTTCAACGCATTTACACGCTGGTGGTAATAAAAGCCAGCGGATATTATAACCGAAAAAATGCACCCATTGAGGGATTTTGTTTTAGACCCTAAACCAAAAGTATAATTATATTATGCTACTTGTATTATCCTGATTCTTTTTACAGAAATTGATGGAAGCTTCAAATGTTCCACCCAAAAACTTTCACCGTAACTTTCGTAAAAATTTATTAAAGATTGCCTTGCAAACTTCGGAGTATTGCAAAGTTTAGTCAAAATTGTGTAAAGATTTAAATGCCCCACTTCAGTTAATGTTTATCGTGAAACTTTCCTGAACATTTAAATTAAACTTTCGCCTAAATCATTATAGATTTAGGCAAAAATTTACATGTTCAGAAAAGTTTTAAGGAAATCTTTAAAGATTTAGGCGAAAATTTATAATTTAAATATTCAGGAAAGTTTGTAATACCAATGATGATTAAAAAAATTATTAGAAAGTCGACATTTTGAGACATTGCATAAAATATTAATGGCGTGCAGGCGACTTTTCTGCGAATAAGAATTGGCCATTAATTAATTAGATGATAAGCAGCTTTCGATATAATGTGCGCTTGCATAATTGTATATCGCGTCATGATACAGTAAAATATGAGATGCTACTTCAATAACTATATGAAAGTTAATTGTTCTCAACTTACAATGCAAGGACAACTACATTCTATACACATTATTATACGAACCGCGTTAAAAAGTAAAAAAAAATAATAATCTCTATTCTCTCAAACACTTAAACTCTCTGTTGAATGTAGAATTAAATACAAAATAAAGTATACAAAAAGAAACGTCGTAAATTGAATAATTGTGTTTATGTAATTACTGCCTGTTAGTGCCTTTAAAGTTAATTTTATGCTTTTAATTCTTTTCATACGCCAATCTCGTTTTGATGTTAATAACAAAAGCGAGACCCCGACCCTCTAAAGTTTAAGCTTAAAAATAATTATAAGAAACAAAAACTAATAAACTAATGATTGTGGTGATGGAAATTGGCCTAAAAAATTCTTATTTATGGAAACAAGAACAAAAATTTTCAATTATCTTATTTTTGTTGAAAACGTGGTTGATAATAAATCGTTTGTTTTGAAAACATGAAAAATCGTTTGACCCTTGAATGCTTGAATTTAACGGTAAATTGTTTTAGAGAATAAAATTAATTTTGTAAATAATAATAATAATAGTTTGTCGACCGCAACCCTGACAGCAACATTTGTAAAGCTGACATTGATACCGGTTAGATGATCGCGTGACCATTTCGTCTTAAGTAGGTGCAACAATGTAAGAATTCTTAAGTAGGTAGGTGTTTCAAACTGGCATCTCTTTTAAACTGAGTGATAGTAATTGTTGATTCCTTACGGTTATATATGTTTATAATATAATATATATACATGTACAAATAATATATAAATATTTATATACATTTATGTAAATTATACACCGTATTTCATTCTACACTATATTTTATTTATTTTCTCAATTTTCACTAAATAATATTTTTAATTTTTTTTTTTTTGAAATATTGCTAAGTTTCGGTTTATTTAGTTATACTATAAATATTCTATAATTATATTATATAGAAAAATAATAAATACTATAGAAAAAAAATTAGTAAGAGAAGCTGGAGCAAAAAGCCTATATCTTAGGGTTTCGTGGCCTAAAAGAACAAAAAAATAAATAATAAAAAAAAATTGTAAACCATAGCAACGATCATTATCGTAACGTAACGCCCCCCCCTAGGGGGCCGTTAGGATCTACGAACGCCCTAGGCAACGAAACCCTAAAAATAGTGAATATTTTATTTTAAAAAAGTAAATATTGTAATAAACAATATTATTATATAAAAAATTGAAAAAAAAAATTATATTATTAATAATATTTTTAAATTTATAAATTTAAAATTTTAATTTATTAATTTTAATTTTAAATTTTAATTTCGTTAAATATTTCTATCATCAGAAATGTAAAAATTAATTCGCCAAGAGTTATGTTTATTTCTATAGGTACACTATATAAATGCTATTTATAAGTAAAAAAATAAAAATGCGATTAGAAGAAATTGACATTAATAATGGAAACAATAAAATGAATGAAAATAATGCCAAGAACGCTTATGCAATCGATTGTATTTCTGGAATCTTGTTATGTATTTATTTATTTATTTATTATTTTTTTTTCTCATTCTTTCTTTGAGAACATGACTTGACATACGTGTAAAAGTCTGAACCTATGATTTTATCTTATTTTCTCACAGTGTATTCTCAATAATTTTAAAAACTTTTTCTATTTTTTTCCATATATTAGATACTGAAAGAAAAATATAAAAAGAAATATTCCAAATATTTATTTTTTCGCAAGAAGAAAAAAATACTCTAAATACATTCTTTTCTATGAAACAATAACAATACTTTGACTATATTTTTTTCTATGAAAACAATTATCTACCTGTATTTTTTTTAAAAAGAAAAAATACTGTATTTTTTTTTATAAAAAAATACTCTAAATATTTTTTTCTATGAAAAAATAAAATACTCAAAATATATTTATTTTCGAGAAGAAAAAATACTCTAAATATATTTTTTTCAAGAAGAAAAAATACTATAAATATTTTTTTCTATGAAAAAAATACTATAAATATTTTTTTCTATGAAAAAAAAATACTCCAAATAGTTTTTTCTATAAAAAAATAGATAGTTTAGATAGTTAAGTGTCAATACTCTAAATATTATTTTCTATGAAAAAATACTCTAAATATATTTTTTTTCAAAAAGAAAAAATACTCTAAATACTTTTTCTATGAAAAAAAGTACTTTTAAATAAATTTTTTTTTCTTGAAAAAAAAAATTAAGAATTTATTTTAAAAAATTTCTATCTGGGCGTTCGGGTTAAGTGTATAGAAATACATAAAATGTTATAACATATGAACAAATATTGTTCTTATAAATTTAAAACGAAGGTGCTTCAAATGAAAGCAAAGTTTAAGAAGCATTATATTTCTTATCTCCTTTCTCTGGGTATATATACAATTTTATACTTGTATATAATCATCATGACCTAATTCCACATGGAAATTGAATCAATTTCAATCAAAAAAAAAAAAAAAGAAGGAAAGAAAATAATTGATAATATACTTGAAGCTTTGCAATATCAAAAATTGATAAAAGAAATAAGAAATAGAATTAAATTAAATATTTATCTATAGAAATATAGTTTTCACCTTTTTGAAAAAAAATCACATTTCTTTAGTTCTTGAAAAATTTCTTAAAATCAACTTTTAAGAATATTAATAATAATAATAATTAATAAATATTAATTGTTAATATATTATATTAATATAATTGTCTATTTTTCCAACAAAACTTGTTTTTAAATATTATTTTAATGTTGTATTTATAATTCTACACGAAAAAGACAAAAAAAAAAAATATATTTTTGAATTTCGCGCCTAAAAGTTCTTTAGATTGCCGCCTAGATGGCATGAAAATTCGCTCACAAGCGAAATAAAGCTAAATTATGGTCTTTCTTCAATGACAATATTGGAGAAATAATAATTAATAATAATATTATTAATAATAATAATAATAATGATAATAACAACAACAATAATAATAATAATAGTAATTCACTTCCGACTACAAAAAAAAATAATTATAATAATAAGAAAATAAAAATAATAATAATAATAATACTAAAATAATACTAATAATAATAATAATAACAAAATAAAAATAGTAATAGTAATAATGGTAATAATAGTAATAACAATAATAATGATAATAATAATTTAAAAAAAGAAAAAAATAAGAGAAATAAAATAAATTTATAATTTAGGGAAATATTTACCTGCTTCTCTATAAGCGTATTGTATATAAAACACGTTTGAACATATATAAATATAAATGTGTATATGATATGTTTGATGCGGGATTTGGCCTGATTTAACGTTATGCTCACGTGAACACGAATAAAACTAGGCATTGAATTTGTTATCAGTCTTGCGTTTAATCGGAAGCACTTGCCATGTGCATTGAGTATCATAAACTTAATTACAGGAGGAGAGAAAATAATAGTCATTCATCTAATGACTTTAAATTATATTTGTCTACCGGAAATAATAAATTTTAAATAAATCTTCTTCAAACTGGACTTCATAATTCAACATAATAAATGATGTCATTTTTTTTTTAAGGCGAAGAAACAAATTTTCGTCACTGAAAAAAAAAATAAATAAAAGAGTGATGCGCGCGCAATTGAACGAGAGGGGCGAAGCGGACCGCTATTGGTCAATGACACTTCCCCCCCACTACTTTCCCCTGACTGCGCGCGCAGAATTTTTAATTCAAGTCCGAAAAAGAAAGGAAGAAACCGTTTTCTTTCCACGTGACATAAAGAACTAACTAAAAAATTTAAATAAATATTAAATGTTTAAATAAAATACTAACACTTTTGAAGAAAATTTTTTTTTTTTTGATAAAAATGGAGCTATTTTTAAAACAATAATTTTATCATCAATATAATTTATAAGCTACGTTAAGCAGCGACAATGGAGAAAGT